TACTTTTTGACAAAATAAAATATTTTTACATTACACTTGCTCTCTGCTGATAATACTCAAAATGATAAATCACTCTTAAAATTGCATTATGCTTTTTAAAAATATTACTCTTTTTCAGATATTTTTTTGAATATCTGATAAATTGGAACATGCCGAAACACTAAATTTAAATTTATTCATATTAGTTTGTATGTCAATAAATTGTCAAATATATTAAATACATGTATTATTTCCAGTTTACATAATATTATGATTCAGTATTTCAGTGTTAACTATTTCTATTAATTTTTTGAAAATGTAATATAATAATATAATAAACAATATAGGTAATAATAGCCAATAGGTGCCTGGTAGGTATAAGCTATAAGGTCATGACATTGGCGTACAAAGGGGGGGGGGGGTTAGTTAAAAGGCTAACCCCCAAAATTGTCCGTATTATTATTACTTAAAAAAAAATATATTTATCAAGTTTCAACTGTCAACTATAGTAAGTGAGACGTAAATTTCATATATGTCTTACCAGAATGAATTAATTTTTGAAAAAACATTGTATTTGCATACCAATTTTCCTAAAATTATCTGTAATTTTTCGATAAAAGTATGAACTACTTGCATGAAAGACCTTGTATTACATTTTCTAGCCTTAGCTATACACATATAATATTTTATAAGTTTTGAACTACAATATACAAATTAACTGTGATTTTGACGAAATTTGAACTTTAAATGCTTATAAAAAATAACCATGATGCCTATGTTAATATTTTAGCTATAATAAAAACTTAGGTATTACAATATTTTTAAGGTTTTTGACCGAATAAATATATAAATTTATAGGAAAAAAAATTGTAATTAATCAAATACAATCCAAGTGAGGACGGTACAACCAAGCTGATTACAAAACAATTTTAATAAATTTTCATTTTTTTTCTCCAATTATTTTAAAAAGCACTGAGCATTTTCAATTTTGACCTCCTAAAGGTACCAAATAGATCCAATTTGCTTCCAAAATCATACATCGGGCATCAAAGTTTATGATCAGATCATTTTTTCTACCAGAAAAGTCGAGGAGTTAGGTACAAACATTTTAAAATACCTCAAATAAATGTCTGAAATTATTAGACTGGACAAAATAAAAATAAAATTGTAACTAATTTTCAAACCCCCCGCCATTGAAAAACCCTGCGTACGCCACTGGGTCATGATATTATGCACAAGCTCTTTCCCACTGCAGTGTGCATTCCGGTCACCTACAATTGCAGAACGCAATTCATTTACCAAATAAATTAGATATTAACATCAATCGTCCATGTGTTTGAAATACCTTTGTTCATTTTGTTCATTGACCATTATAATAGCTATTAACGTTTATATTATATAGCTCTGTAATGGACCCTAAAGTAAATGGGGCGATGCGAACTTTCTATATTGTGGGGTTTTTTGGTTTTTAAAATAACAAATATAATTATTGCATTGTGCTGCAGCTGTAAATCATCTTTGGACTGTTAAAATGGCCAGCACGAGTATAATACTATATACCACATCAAATTATATCTAACAATAACGTACATATTATAGTCAAGTTAGATGGCTGCACAATATACGTTATTTAATTAATGTCATGATTCAAACTTTTATTTTTCAAAAGGGCTGTGAATAGGAGAAAAAATAAGGACCCAATTGTCAGCTTTGTGTCGCAATAGCTCGTGCAGTTTAATACACACGTAACGCACCATTGTACTACAAAATCTAAATTATATTCTAAACGTAGGTACCAATGTGTTACATAACCGGTATGAATATTGTATTATGCAAAGAAAACAATTAATTTTGATTGATGTTTAAATATTTTCATTTTTTACTTCCTAATTGCTAGTGATGGGCATTAACAGGCAAATTGACAAAGCATCTAATCTAATATAGTACCTATCTCACATAGTCACGTAGACGATTTAAATTTAATTCAAACCGCAAGACGAGTTTTTTATTAGAGGAGATCTATGAGAAAATATAATATGCTTGCTACTTGTTAAAAATTGTTTATATTAGGTACCTATATTTATTATAAACATTAAACAACATCTACTCCGAAGACCCGGATAATAATTATTACACATTTACACGCATAATCTCATAAACTGAAAACGTTGTAAGCAATATATTAATTATATTCGAAGTGAATCACCGCTGTGTTTCCATTAAAATATTATAATTTAATTTAATACTGTACAATGTTCATTGATAACCTATAGCTATTGATGATTATCAGTTATTAGTTACATAATATGATGCACTAATTATGTGATAAAGAATTAGGTAGGTACGTTATAAAAATTATAAAAATTTGTTGTATTACCTACTGCATATATTTAGCTATTGACTTATACATAGATTATATACGATGTACCATTCATATAATAATTCAAATATTAGAAATTGAAACTGTAATAAAGATTCACTGGGTCTTAACGTACATCAATTTAGGAAGGATCTTCTTCAAAATAAAATCTTTGTTTTTAAGTGTAAGAATAAGGAAACGAGTTGACCTCGGGTGGTTTTGAGATTTACGAGCCTTTTTGTTTTATATAATCCGAAAAATGTTGGATTTAAAACTAAAGTATCTGTCATCAGAAATCAGCATTAAAAATACATAAGTAAGTGTAGTCCTTTAATGGATTTCGAAAAATGTGCCATAAAATAGTAAATTAAAAATATACTTACTAGTATGCCAGTATTACTGAATCTTTGAAGTAAAGTTAAATATAATGTAGGTTTATTGTTGTTATTTTTTTGTTCTAAAATATGTTTCACAATTTAAATGCATACGTGTTAGCGTGTTATATATTTATGAAAAAATGATCAATGATTATTGAAACGCTTGATGTCCGGTATAATATATTTAAACTGCATTATTACCATTTACCACGGTATGGTGTATTTTTTTTTTTTAATTATGCACCTAATATATACGTAATTGTTACTTGTTAATAAAAAAAAAATCACACATGAAAATTCAACGACATCAAGTAAACTAAGAGTTATTAGTAATAACAACTTGTAATGCATATTATGTTATATTATTAGGTGTGTAATATAATAATATTATAGTTAACCGGTTTTGACTAAATGGATTTGTCGAACAATATCCAAACCTGTGAGCTATATAGTGTTACTTAAAAGGTGGGTGGGTAGACATCACACATGTGAACCTTGTTTAATTATTTGTATTGTTTTGTGTTAAACTTGGAATAACCTTGCAGTAAAAACAACAAAATTGTTGACAATTTTGAATTATAGCTAAATTAAGGCATTACAAGGACTATAACCAACTGCTTGATGTACACAACACTTGTGATGTTTAACGTCTTACATTGTGGTTTACACATTCATATAAAATTCAGAAAGAAGGACAAATTTATAAAAAATAAAACGTTTAAGAAACTAATAGATATTTCATTTAGTAACATTGTCGTTCTAAGGAATTAATTAATTTCTAATTTGGAAGCAAATAAAAAAAAAGTAATTCTGCAGG